ACTACAGTTTGGTCTCTTCTCATGTCTCCGGGTCGACCTGCTGAACTTTGCTGAATCTGGTGCCTAATATAGGGGAAATCTTACATATACACACACACACACATATATATATATATATATATATATATATATATATATATATATATATATATATATATATATATATATATATATATATATATATATATATATATATATATATATATATATATACACATATACATATATATATATATATATATATATATATATATATATAAATGCAAATGAAAGAAACAAATTGTTCAAGTATCAGGGAACATCCTAATACACTTAAAATGTTGTTTAAAAAATAAAACAAAATAGTGATGTAGACATTTGACACATTAGCTTTCTCTTCTTTCTTTCTCCATCCCTGTCAGGGGCAAGTTGTAGCTACCTTGTAATGCATTTTTCCACTTCTTTATCAGTGGCGTGGTATGGACATTTGTCCTCACTCCATCTGTGATTAAAAGATAAACAGATAATTAGTAGTGAACAAGTACTAATGTAAAAAAAAGAAAAAATTAGGAAAAAAGTAGGCTACCTACGAAGCAAAAAAAAAAAAACAATAAAAAAAAACAAATAAACTTAAAACACTTTGAAATTAGCAAGAGCTTGAACTTACCAGTTTCTTCATTTGTTCAGGCTGCTCCTTTAGTTGATTTTCAAGCTTTTCCAAATCAAATTGGCCAAAGGAAGGTCAAATGTGTTTACATCTGGAATTTCATCACGTCTGTCTTGGTTTTGTGAGAATCAGGCCCAGCTGCTGCTTTATGACGTTGCATGATTTTAAAACTTCAGTCAGTCGTGCTAGAAAAGAAAAATAACAGATTAGTATAAATCAACCTGTAGCTTATTCTCATACAACTTCTGTAAATACAACAGTGGGTTAGACACTGCTGATATTCTCTAGTTGATCTTTACTTTCTAGCTGCATTAAACCTTAACAAATTTAGTGATGTCTTCAATTCTTACAAAGACATCACGAGATGCAATAAGTTCTGTCTTTATCTCAAACTGCACTAGAACAAAGACTGTAAATGTTCATAGGTGTACTGCAGGAGTGTCCAAACTTTTTGGGCCGAGGGCCAGATGCAAAAAAACAAACGTTGTCGCGGGCCAAATTTTACATACATCACACAGACACGTGTATATATATATATATATATATATATATATATATATATATATATATATATATGCAGTTGAAGTCAGAATTGTTAGCCCCCCTAAATTATTAGCCACCGTTTATTTTTTCCCCAATTTCTGTTTAACGGAGAGTTAAACATTTTTTTCCACACATTTCTAAACATATTAGTTTTAGTAACTCATTTCTAATAACTGATTTATTTTATCTTTGCCATGACGACAGTAAATAATATTTAACTAGATATTTTTAAGACACTTCTATACAGCTTAAAGTGATATTTAAAGGCTTAACTAGGTTAATCAAGTTAACTAGTCAAGTTAAGGTAATTAGGCAAGTTATTGTATAACAATGGTTTGTTCTGAAGACTTAAGGGGCAAATAATTCTGACCTTAAAATGGTTCATAAAAAAAATTCAACCGCTTTTTATTCTAGCCGAAATAAAACATAAGTCTTTCTCCAAAAGAAAAAAAATTATCAGACATACTGTAAAAATGTTCTTGCTCTGTTAAACATCATTTGGGAAATATTTAAAAAAGAAGAAATAAATCAATGAGGGGCTAATAATTCAGACTTCAACTGTGTGTAGATAGATAGATAGATAGATAGATAGATAGATAGATAGATAGATAGATAGATAGATAGATAGATAGATAGATAGACAGACAGAAAGACAGACAGATAAACAGATAGACAGATGGATAGATAGATAGATAGATAGATAGATAGATAGATAGATAGATCATAACAAGAACTGCTGCTTAATTGAATGTATGTAATAGCGACACCCGGTGGTTATTTATTGAATTACGTTCATTTTTGTATAGCGGGCCAGATTCTATTAATATTTATAAAAAGCCTCGCGGGCCGTAGTTTGGACACGCCTGGTGTACTGGAATGTACAGTATCTGTGCATCTTGATGGTGGTCTTAAGATTTCTGCCATAGTCATTGATGGTGATGGTACTTGTGGTGCTGCATTGATTTCTGAAATCTTCATACCTGCCTTTTATCCAGCCTCTTTGTTCCAAGTAATTTTTCTTCATCATGGTATAGATGTGTCCATACTGTCCCTTAATCAGATACATTTACAAAACAAAACATCACTTTAGTATAGTGCCAGAGCAAAACTCACAGGTTGTAATAGATCAATGACATAATGTTGACAGTATGTGTTTAAAATAATTGCAAACAAACCTGTTCTGTCTTTAGATGTATGACAGTCATCGTCCTCATCTGTCTACCAGTCAGAAATCACAGTTGCATGTGGATGTTTGAGTCGAGCTTCCTCATATGCATCTATAATAAAACATCACATTGTTGTTTACCTCCCGTAAAGAAAAGTTCAAATCCTGAAATACTATCAAAGTTAATTAATGCATATAATACCTATAGTGTAAATAATCAGTACACAGAAGGTTGCACAAGATTTATTCGGAGATTCATGCAGAGTGACAGCCTTATGAATCTGAGACATAGATTTGTAAGATTGTCAAGCACATGCATTATTCTGTACCCATGAAGATTAACCTACCATTGTGAAAAATGTTTGATGATGAGAGCCAATAACAATAAACCATTTCAGCTGTTTGTGAAGCAATTAGTAATGTAATGTCTGAAAAGCTCAATCTATGTTGAAAATGTATCAGCAGTTTACAGCTTATGGACTTTTAGCACCCAACTATAACATGCCTATTCACGTTCAAAAGAGTGTGCCATTGACTGCTTTGGTCGTGATGTGCTGCAAAATGATCTCACTAACCTTTGTTAAACAAGAACAATAAGACTTAACCAAAAAATATTGTTACCCATTCATTTAAATCAGAATTTATCACTGTCAATAACATAAAAAAAACATCAAAATCTGCTTTAAGACGTTCAGTTTTACATTAACTGACCATTACAGCTTGAACAAAAGATATAATTGATTCACACATATGAATTAAAGTGCATAGTAATATATTTCTCTTGGATAATTTAAAGAGAATAGTAAACAGTCGAGTTTCGATCATTTTCGTGACTAACTGCATAAACAAGATAAACAATAATATTTTATTAATCAAAACGATTAGTTTTTATTTACACATAATCACAGAATTAATACTGTTGGATAAGTATACGCCTGTACAATGATTTTTTTCAACATCCACGGTACTTTATAATGTTAAATCAGGAAAAAAACACGTTTTGCCAAGTTGGTTAATGGATTCGTCTACAGAAACTTTCTTTAACGCAAAGTTAGCATACACACAAATTCGTTTCATGTTTCTTTAAAATAATTAAAATAGTTCAGTTACTACACACGTTACAATCTAACATTGTGTAAAAGGAAAAGGAACTTTCAGACGTGTTTGTAACTGTTAGCGTTAGCATACATTAGCTCCAGTCGTGTGTCTTAAAGCAAGTTATATTTCGTATCAAACTGTTTTAAATTACTAAACGCTGTTACAACCAAACACCGTGGAAATGTTTTAAGCTCTAAATTCGCTAATTATACAGAACACAAGCAGTAAAAAGCTTACCTTTCTGACCGGACTCCACGTGAAATGTTTGAAAAACCAACCCTTTTCTTCTTGTGATCTTCGTGCCATGGTGGTTGACAACCAGCTTTTTGGAGCATTACCGCCACCGTCTGGATTGGAGTTTGGATCAGGAATTTAGTAACGCATGTGTTTATTATGAAACCAACTTCTGCTTTAAAAAAAAACAGTCAGCACAGGAGCGTGCTATCTCAAAAATAAGCGAATTTTACATAGTTTTTCTCTAGATGACATGTATAATCTATTTATAAATAATATTGTTTTGTTTGCGTCTAAACATTGCGACCATCCACACTAAATATTCTTTTTTTTTTTGCTATCGTACCATTAATATTTTCTCAAATTATCATTAAACGTGGAGCTAACAGATTACTAGATAAAATAAGAACTTAATCGGTTGCCATCAGCCGAGTCCTTGCCAGAAGCGGCCAGGATATGGTTGACCGGAATCGGGCCAGTGCTTTACAGCCGCATCACAACCGCATGTGCGCGAGCGAGCTGCGGGCCGCACTCGGCCCGGATAACACTCGCCGATGCCGAGTCGGAGCCGGAGGCGCCGAGGGGCAGCCGAGCTCGGGCCGATTACTGCCTGCTATCTGGGCTGTTTTCCCCCACAGTGCAAAGCCATGCGGTACAGCTGAATTGGGCAAGCTAAATTGTCCGTAGTGAATGTGTGTAATTAAGTGTGTATGGATGTTTCCCAGTGATCGGTTGCAGCTGGAAGGGCTTCCGCTGCGTAAAACATGTGCTGGATAAGTTGGCGGTTCATTCTCCCAATTCACCTGTACAGCATGTCTTTGGACTGTGGCGGAAACCAGAGCACCTGGAGGAAACCCATGTGAACGCAGGGAGAACATACAAACTCCACACAGAAATGCCAACTGAGCCAAGGTTCGAACCAGCGACCTTCTTGCTACTGCGCCACTGCATTGCCCAAAGTTGATGTTATACTCTACACATTTTTCTTTTACAGTAAAACAGAAAAAAAGATGTGTTTGAAATATGCTATACAAAATATGCTGTTCTCTCATTTGGTGTAAATGTAAATGTTCCTATAAATCAAAATTCACATTAAAAATTAAATATATAACTAAAACTATATAAAAAAAAAAGAATGTTTAATGAGTGAAAGCAGTTTACATTTCAAATTTTCATGTTTCACAGTATTTATATCAGACTCATTGCTCTCTGAACTTTCCTGCAATATTAAGTATTTTTTGTAAGTAAGAGCTATATATATTTCTGCTGCAGAATGCCAAGTACATTCCAACCAGAAAACCTTTCCATATGACGGGATTGTGAAAAGGAGGATGTCCAAAGAAGTAAGACCACTTATTTATGTATGAAGTTACTTAAGTAAAAAAATATAATTTTATAAAAATAAAAAGATTTATCCCGTAGTTCTTTTTAATTTAAGCGTGATTTAGCTTATAATGTGTGGGTATTTATAGTGGTAGTTGAAATCATTAGAACACCAGGCATATCTGAAAATATAGATTTTTTGCCTCTAAAACATAATTTAATTTCATAATGAGCACAATCATTTTAATCTGATCACAACTAATATAACATGAATTTAGTCCTACTGGTTTGATCCACTGTTAACTGTAATATTTGGTGTGTAACATGGTATGTCAGGCATTGTGTCAGCACGTTTCCAGACAACTTTAACATTGCTTTCAATGCCTTCTACAACCAAAGCCAATCTAGCTGCTTCTTTAAAAGTACTTGATTGAGTGACATTGACAGTGAACAGGTTTAAAGACAATTATGCTGACTTTCTAGATATTTCATTTAATGGGTATTGTTGTGCATGGCTAGGTCAAACAATTATGCTAAATGTTCAAATAATTCTAGTCACTCAGTACTAACAGTTAATGTTGCTCAATACTCATGTTCTTAAAGGGTGTTGAAGAGGCCAGAGTCAGATGGAAGCCGTGTTCTGGATGGTAAGTGTCACAAACACACAATATAATTCTGTCATACAGTGGTGGAAATATGTTGAACAAACTATGAATGTTTTTTGATGTAAACAATTATTCTTGTAGATAATAATGTGAAGTGAAGATAACCTTTTTTCAAAGCTTAAAATTGTAATAATCTTTAACTAATATATCTGTGTTTGCAGCAAATTACTTTTTAAAATTATGTTAATTTAAATATCACAGCCTATCCTGTAAACATAATTATAATTAAATGTCTTTGACTGATTTACAGTGGGATGAAATGGAAAGACTCCTGGGAGCCATTAAATCACTTTTTGTAAAATACAGTGGGTTATAAAAAGAAATGCTTTTAAAAAAAGATTTGTCTACTGCTGTTGTAGCTATTTTTGGTGCAGGTCTTGTTTTTGTTTGTTGTTTTAAATCTACTGTAAGAATTGAAATATTGCAAATATTCTGATATCTTTGACAATTCAAAACATGAGCTGAAAACAGAGACTGGTGACTTCACAACCCACCAGAAGGGAATGCGGGAAAAACCAGTTCCTGCTGCATTTGCATCTGAGATTGCTGAACTCAGCTTCATCCCCCCAACTCACGCATATGGTCATTTCAATGTTTTAAATTAACCAAACTGACTTTAACCATCATGTTTGATATCATTTGAAATGTCTCAGTGCGATTGGTACAATGGTCTCATTCTCTCAGAAATAGACATAATCAGAACAATAAATATATAACTTCAGGCATCTTTTGAACCACTGTGAGGGGTGTGACTTTTACACTAAGTGTGAATGCCTTTTGTTATTCACACCCCCTTCCTTGAGGGAATTCTTGGATTATTTAAGGTAAGGTCTAAGAAAAACTCAGGGCGATTCTGCCTAACCAGATCAGCCCATAACATGGGGGCTGCCCCATGTTATGTATATTTCAAAGTCAGGAATGCATCTTTTTCATCTTGGATTTATCTTTGATAATTTGATGTTTTGTATTGATCATTTATGAATTGACTGATTGAATTGGCATAATACATTTACCTGACTAATAAATTGTAATGTTTGACCATATTTTGCTCACTCTGTAATTATTAGTTCTAATAGATTACGCTGTATCCTTGTTTCCGCACGTCTTGCGTCAGGTCAGTAGACGGACTAGAATCCAGTTGAGATGGAGCATTGGGCACACTAATTGTGTTTTAGCGATCCGGCTGACTCTTGATATTGATTCATGTGTACTTAGGTGGAAAGGGCGATAACTTCCGTCTAGGTCAACAAGGTGTTGCACGACTAACCTAGATTGGGTACCCGACCTTTGTTTGAAGGTAATATTATTCTAAATTAAGTTCATATGGGAAACCATGGGCTTGGTGAAAACCAAAGTTACTATAGAGTCCAGTAGTCGGGTACATTTATATTAATGCCCTAACCTCTAATTAGAAATGATGATTGTCTCAACTCAAAGGTGTACATCTAAGCGGGACTAACTAAAGTATTTTAGAACGAGTGCGCTGGTAGCGGCCATCTAAAGTATTAGTCAATTTACCTCTGTTTAATATTCAAGACTGACCGGAGTGTGACCGTGAGGGGCGCCTTCGGCCGAGGCGATTTCTCTGAGCGACATGAGCACCCGAATGAACGGATGTAATAGTTACTAGTGAAGACAAACGGTTCAAACATTTATCTAAATTACATATTGATATAATCTTCTTAATGTTTTATAATTGGAGTCAGATAAAACGAGGATAAATTTATTAATATTCTAAACCACCTCATACTAAAATTGGAGTCAGATATAAGTTAAGTTTAATATAAATCAACATTGTGCACTGGAAAGACCGAACATGCAGTGAACCTTCATCCACCAGTGGACACCGGCATTGGGCCAACTGGCTGGACCTTACACTACTTTAACTCAGCACATGTTTAAACCCACATTTTGACATTGTTTTTGTTTTATTTTTATTTTTTGAATTGTATTATAATACATTTTTTCTGTTAACCTAGAATAAAGACTTCCACGCACAAAGATAAACACTTACAGTATTTTCATCTACGTCATATCTGCAGCCACTAAATCCCTCTGCAAAATTGTTTGAATGTTTGTATTTGAAAAAATAAATAAATATATTAATGATTTAAATGTAATAAATGCATTTCTGGTTCTTCAGGAGTTTTATGGCTCACATCAGAGCCATTAAAGTGTGCATTTGCAGCATAGATACATACAAAATTGTTATTTTTTAAATGTTTGTACCAAAGAACACAAACTAACACATTTATACATTTTCACTCTGCAATTTATAGTAAGCTATGTGTAGGCACAGTATAACACAAGGCAAAACTATTTATTTAAAAGACATTTGTGAGAAGTGTACTAATTTATGTAGAAATAAGTGCAGAACACACACACACACACAGTGCTCAGCGGAAATCAATATACCCCTCAGAGGTCTTTTCTTTAAATTAGTACCTTTTATGGAGTGCTATACAAAAAGGTATTTCTGTATATACATTAAAGTTACATATACATTACACCAAAGTTAAAACTGAAACAAATGTAAGAAAAAGATTGATCCCTCTTTTTATTAAGTGCTTTAACTAATTTGTTTCAATATAGTTACTGTGTATATTGTGACACATGGTACAGTTTAGAGAATATTACTTTTTACATTGCACTTTTGATTGGTTAATCAAATTAAACTTACACCTTTATCCACCCCTAAACCTATCCATACCCCCAAACCTGTCCCCACCTTACCTGTATTTCACCTTCAGAGTATCAGAATTGTTCTAAAAGACATTATGAACACAGTAAGTACAATGTATTTACTTTTTTGATATATAGATATCAAAACATTTTGGTACACTTAGTCTAGGTGGATTATATAAGTTAAACAAAATTGTGTTAAAATGTTTGTATTAAAAGTTTTGATCAACTTCAAATACTGAATGTCTTTGTATGTGAGAGAGATAGCAGAAGGCTATGTTGTGTAAAGTGGAAAACGAAGGAGAAATGTATCATGTCATGACTGCAACAGCGAGTGGCAAAAAAAACTAAACAAACATAAAAAAATTTTTAAAAAAGACTTTGCCAACAGATTATAAACAAATCTTGATTCTATTATCTCTGAAACTCAGTCTGGGTTTATAAAAGGCCGCCATGTTTCTATTATAATGAGATTAGTTTTGGATTTTCTAGATTTTGCTGATTCTATTCATTCAGATGGTCTCATTCTTTTTCTTGATTTTTATAAAGCCTTTGATACGATTGAGCACCAGCTTCTGTTTAAAGCGTTGAGGTTATTTGGATTTGGGAACTTTTGTTAACACTATGGCTTTGTTTTATAAAGGAATCAATAGTTCAGTGATCATTAATTTTAATACTTCTAATGGATTTGATATTTTGTGTGGTAGTAGGCAAAGCTGCCCAATCTCTTCCTTTTCATTTTTATTAGTGACAGAGTTGCTATCCTTAAGCATTGTGCCTAATCAAGATTTGAAGGGAATTTCTGCTTTTGGGAGGGAGATTAAGATTTCACATTTGGCAGATGACACCACTTTATTTCTAAAAGATGACTCAAACATATAAAATATAATTTTTAATTTCTGACTTCTCAATTGTTTCTGGTCTAAAGCTGAATATTTCTAAATCTGAGATAATGCCTGTTCATAATTTGAATTATGAATATATAGAAGATATCCCTGTTAAATACACAATTAAATATTAATTTATTTATGTCATTGAAAATCTTTTAGTGAGACAGCACTTAATTTTTTTTTGTCTAGGATCAGCAAAACTAAAAATATTCTTAATTCCTGGCTACAATGGGACCTGTCATTATATGGAAGAGTTTTTTTGTCCAAGGCAGAGGGTCTTTCTCATTTTGTATATCCAACGTTATCTTTATTTGTTGAAAGCAAAATGGCCAAAGAAATGAATACTGTTTTCTTAAAATTTATCTGGAAGAACAAACCTCATAAGTTGAAAAAGGAAGTTCTTTCTAGTAGTAAAGCAGAGGGGGGTGTAAATTTCTCAGATTTTTCTGACATCATATACATTTTTTAAATTATTTGGATGATTATTTGGAAGAGATGCCTAACCAATCCAACGCATATTTGTTTTTTTTATTCCCAACTACTTTTTGACAAAATTGGTAGTCTTTTGTTTCTTCTTAAATGTAATTATCTTCCCTCTAAGCAATGTCTGCTTGCTTGGAAGCTTGGTTACGTTCACAATTTTTCTCCCTACCAATTTTTCTTATGGAATAACTGAGATATTACAATCAGAAACAAATTGTTATTGTTTCTTACAGTTGGTTACAAAATAATATTAACTGTAATCTTTGCTTGTTTGATGATGCATGAAACATTCTTTCATATGAACAATTTATATCCTACCACTGTTTTCCAACACCTAACAAATTTAATAAAGTTGTTAAGGCAGTATCACGTGGTTTAGTTCACCTAGTCAAACTCACTGTAGATTTAACTCAAGGAGCTCAGTGAATAGTCATTCTCCTTTGCTTTTAGAAGGTGTTAGTCTGTTAGATAAGAAATGAAACAATAGCTTTGTGTGTCAAATTTTTCAATTTAAAAGAAAAATTTATTTTAGAGGAAAGTGTTACTGGAGGTCTTTGGTTGAGGATATAGACTAGAACCTGGCTTTTACCAGGGAAATATTGCATTTCCAACAAGGCAAAAGAAATACACTTTACAATTGTATAGAATATCCACCCTGTAAAATTCTAGTATTTCCAAATTTTTTGAGATCGACAGCTCCTGTTCTTTCTGCGAACAAGCAGAGGAGACACTTGTATATGTTTTTTGATTGTCCGATATCCAAGATATTTTGGTCACTCCTAAATTCTCACATATCTGCTTCTGCCAACGCTGTGAATTGCTTTAATCTAAAAGACATTATTTTATTTTAATAACCCCAAAGCTAAATCCCTACAACACATCATACATTTTTTTTTATCTTATATGGCAAATTTTTCATTCACAAACAGAAATTCGCAAATAATTACTCATCATTTGCTCATTTTAGAATAGAAGTTAACTCCCTCCTAAAATCACTTCATCTTATTAACAATAAAAAAAATCTAAGATTCCTGAAATATTATGCAGATGTATTTAAAGAAGATTCTCGATTTTAGTTGCTTTCCTTATGGTGAATTCCTTATGGTGAAGTGTCATTATAATTACATTCATGTTTAATTTTGTTTTGTTTTATTTAGTAATTTTATTATTATTATTATTATTATTAATAATAATAATACTTTAATTATATTAATATTTTTCCCTTTCTCTCTAATGGTATTATTTGTATTTGATTTTAGATATTTTTTCTTATGACAAAAAAAGTGAATCAATTGGAGAAAGGTTTGTTTAAAAGCTTTTACACAGATATAAAGCGATTGATTAAAGTTTCAGGTTTTTCATCCAATACTAAATGATGTTCTGCTGTTGACAATATTATGTTAACACTTTATACAACGTAATATTATTTTACTCAAAGTAAAGAGGACTATTGAACAACGTGTGTGTATTAAGTGTCTTAATGAAGGTTTAGTTTATTAAATAGCATAATTTCACTTCATTCTAAGTATACATTACCATATATACATACATAAATGCAGTACTAGTTTTAATCAGCTCATTTGTGGCTGTTGTTTCTTGCTCGGACTTACCGGATTTATTTTTGTTAATTACTCTCATATAAAGAAACTGTTGAAGGGAAGTTATCTTGTTTCTATTCATAGTTTTATTTATTTTAAACAGGACATTTTTATTGCTTTGTTAATTTTAAACAGGATAAAATGTCCAAACGCAGAGAAAAACTATATATAATAAGTCATGACTCATGACTAAGAAGTGGCAAAAAAAGAAAAAAAAAGACTTTTATTTTGGCATGACTTGTGACGTCATAAGCCTGCGCCGCTCCAGCGCTGTGATTCAACTGGAGAAAGGTTTGTTTTAAAGCGTTTAGCCTTATATAAAGCGATTGATTAAAGTTTCAGTTTTTTCATTCAGTGCTAAATTATGTACCTGAGACAATATTATTTTAACCCTTATACAACATAGTACTATTTAACAGTAATGAGGTCTATTGTTTGAATAAAGATAGGATAAACTTTTCGTCCCCAAGAGGGGGACGCAATGTGTAATAAGTGTTTTAATGAAGGTTTAATTTATTAAATAGTATAATTTCATTTTATTCTAAGTATACATCACTATAAGAAATGGAGTACTAGTTTTAATCAGGTCATTTATGGCTTTTGTTTCTTGCTCTGACTTACCTGATTTCTTTTTGTTAATAACTCTCATACAAAGAAACTGTTGAAGCAAGTGTTGAAGAGAAGTTATCTTGTTTCTGTTCATTGTTTTATTTATTTTAAACAGGACATTTTTATTGTTTTGTTCATTTTAAACAGGATAAAGTGTCCAAACACAGAGAAAAACTCCTGCTGAAGCGACTGATCTCCACACTGTTATAAAGATGGCGTTTATTAAAGAGGAGAGTGAAGATGTGAAGATTGAAGAAACATTCACAGTCAAACAGGAAGATCTGCAGGAACAAACAGGTTGGTTTTCATTCTCAAAGACCAACTCAGTCATTTAATCCTCATTCAGATATATTTTAATAATAAGAATAATAAATTAAATCCATCTTGCTGCCCTGAGTGTGCTGCCTAGTTCTCCTAAATGCACATAAGCACTCATTGAAAAACAGGAATGAGTTTCATTTGTTACTTGTTCTCATGTCTTTTGTCATTCTTTTATATATTATTAGTCTCCCATTTTCATCATCGTGGGCCAAAAATATCGTTATCGTGAAGATAATAC